AAGCCAACAACAGTGGCGATAGCGAGCCCTAGCGGGCGGCGCTGGTCCGCTGGTGTTACGCCCGCAGCGACACCTGCAGGCGTTGTGCTCGCGGGCTAAGGCGTCGTAGGGTAGTGACGCCTGCGGGCGCTATGCCCGCGAGTACAATCGCCCGCAGGCGCAGTAGTGCCCGTAGGGGTGGCCCCCCCGCCTCCCGCCATAGAGGGCCACCGCCAATAGGGTGACAGTTACCGGGGAGAGGGAGAAGGGTTTAGGGCTTTTTTCGGACAAAAGATAGTTTTGCCCCTTGAAATTTTAAAAATTTCATATTATGTCTTTTATCCAAATTATGAAAATGTCTATCAGAAAGGGAAGAAGCCCGATCTTATAGAAAAGGAAAAAGCTCGATCTTAAGGTTGTTAAGATTTGGGGCTGCCCTGCCCACGTTAAAAGACACAACCTCGATAAATTGGAATCAAGGACGGAGCGGTGCAAGTTCGTGGGATACCCCAAGGAAACTTGTGGGTATTATTTCTATCATCTCGAGGACCAAAAGGTCTTTGTAGCCAAGAGAGCGATGTTCCTTAAGAATGAACACATTCTTGGCGAAGACAGTGGGAGCATGATAGAGTTAAATGAGATTTGAGAACCTAACTCAAGCACCACTCTACAGCCCGAGTTTGTTTAGGTACCTAACACACAAGTTCCAACTTTACGTAGGTCCGGCAGAGTATCCCATCCTCCTAAGAGATATGTGAGACATATTGAAGGAGAGAATATTGAGGATGTTGATCCTCAGACCTATGAGGAGGCTATTATGAGTATAGACGCTGGGAAGTGACAAGAAGTCATGAATTCTGAGATGGATTCCATGTACTCCAACAAGGTTTGGAACCTAGTTGATGCACCCGAGGGTATTGTACCCATCGGTTGCAAGTGAATTTTTAAGAAAAAAATCGGAGTAGATGGAGAGGTAGATACATATAAAGCAAGGCTAGTGGCTAAGGGGTATCATCAAAGATAATCTGTTGACTATGACGAAACCTTCTCACCCTAGTCATGCTAAAATCCATCTGAATTCTATTAGTTATTGTAGCACACTATGATTATGAGATCTGACAAATGGACGTGAAAACCATATTCCTCAATGGCAACCTCGAGTATATGATACAGCCCGAGGGATTCGTGTCTAAGGACTGCGTAGATAAGGTTTGCAGGTTGCTTAGATCCATTTATGGACTAAAGCAAGCTTCCCGAAGTTGGAACATAAGATTTAATGAGGCAATCAGATATTATGACTTCGTTAAGAACGAAGATGAGCCTTGTGTGTACAGGAAGGTAAGTGAGAGCGTTATCACCTTCTTGGTGTTATATATGGATGACATCTTGATCATTAGGAATGATATAGGAATGCTATCTATAGTAAATGCTTGGTTATCTAGATACTTCATGGTGAAGAACTTAGGGAAAGCATCCTATATCTTGGGGATTCTATAGACACCATTGTCAAAGGTATGGCATGAAAAATTTTTCAAGAGATGTCTCGTACCGATGAGACATAGGATATCGCTTTTTAGGAGTATGTCCCTAAATACTCCTAAAGAAAGGACGAACATGGATAGGATATCCTATGCCTCGACAATAGGGTCTATCATGTATAATATACTATGTATCAGGCCTGATATAGCAAATGCTTTGAGTGTCACGAGCAAGTCTTAAGCGGATCCAAGCTTGGAGTACTAGAAAGCAGTAAAGTGTATCCTTAAGTACTTGAGAAGGACTAAGGATCTTTTACTTGTATATGGAGGTAGTAGCCTTAGGGTTGAAGGCTACACGGACTTGAGTTTTCAGTCCGATATCGATGATAACAAGTCAGATTCGAGGTATGTGTACACCTTGAATGGAGGAGCAGTGTGCTGGATGAGTTCCAAGCAAGATTCTACTACTGACTCGACCATAAAGGCAGAGTACATAACTGCAGTAGATGCAACAAAAGATAGAGTCTAGATGAAGCAATTCATCATAGATCTGGGAGTCGTGTTGGGTAGCAATGAGCTGATTTCCTTATATTGTGACAACTACGGGGCGATTGCTCAAATAAGGGAACTCAAGTCTCATTAGAAGTGTTCTGAGGAGATGTAACAGTGGAAAGAGTTACATCCGAAGATAATATTATAGATCCATTGACAAAGCCGTTGTCTCAGATTGTTTTTAAGCGTCACATGGGTCTGATGGGGATCATATACATAGGTGATTGGCTTTAGGTCAAGTGGGCGATTACTAGTCATATGTGTCCTACAAGCCAATCATGTGAGTGATAACACGTGTGACTTGACACATAGTCCTTTTGCTTATTATATTTTGACATTTATCACTTTATATTACTTGTTGCTATATATATATATATATATATA